GCAACAACTCGCTGTAATTTATACAAGCTTGAAAACCTATCAAATAAGTTGAATGTCTCTATTTTTTGTTCTACCTTTAATTCGGGTAATTCAGAAATATTTTTTGTAAGGTACGGATTAGTTTTTACAAAATCTATAGATTTATTTATAAGAAAGTCCGGTCCGTGCCACCAGATGCGATTATTAACCAATTGTTCAGGAGCTATTCCTCTTGAAATTATATCAGCTGCATTATTTTTGCTAGATACATGTACCCATTCGTTAAATTTTGTTAATTCTACAATTTTCATAACTCGATTAGCTACAAAGGTTTTTAATTTCTGCAGATCGATTTTCAACCAACTTAGCACAACTGTTGAATCGGAATAAAGTGTAATTCTATCAATTTTAATATTAATATAATTTAAGACAGTATGAGCTAATTTAGCTAGTAAATACGCAGCTAATAATTCAAGCCTAGGAAGTGAAATAATTTTTAACGGGGCTACCTTGGATTTAGCACATAAAAGATTTGAAAAGCGCTGACCGTGAGAATTTTCTGAAACAAGATAAATACAGGTTCCATATGCCTTTTCAGAGGCATCACAGAAGCCGTGAAATTCAATTCGCGTTGGATAATCGCAAACAACATGCCGTTGTATTTGTATATCATTCAAATTGTTTAGGTGCACTGAAAACTGTAACCAATGATTTGTTAATTCATCATCAAGAGTATCATCCCAATCTAATTTTAATTGAAATAGACGTTGAATAATAATTTTTGCTTGTATAATAGCTGGGCCTATTAATCCAAGCGGATCAAAAATTTTTGAAATCGTTGAAAGTATTGTACGTTTCGTGACAACTTCATGATGGTGAATATTTACCGAGAACTTAAAATTGTCTGATTCGGGCAACCAGATTATGCCTAAAGTTTTTAATTCTTTTGCTTCCGAGTTAATTGTATAATGTTCGATATTTTTTCCGTCCTTAGCAATAGACTCAATTATTGAAAAATTATTAGAATTCCACTTTCTTAATGGAAATCCTGCCTTTCCGAGAATATTAGTTAATTCGTGATACACTTCTATTGTTTCTTGTTCTGTGTCAAAACTTGTTAATAGATCATCCATATAAAAAGAATTTAATATTATTGAACTACTACGTGGAAATTGTTTATAATTATCATAAGCTATCTGATTCAAACAACGAGTTGCAAGAAAAGGTGCACTAGAAGTGCCGTATGTTATTGTGTTTAATTCGTATAACTTAATAGGTTCATTTTCGTTTTTGCGCCATATAATTTGTTGATATTTTCGATCATTAGAACATACTAATATTTGACGGTACATCATCTTGACATCGGCATTTAAAACAAACTTTCTGAGCCGTAAACGCAAAACTATTGCCACAATAGTATCTTGGACCGTTGGACCTATCATTAAATTATCATTTAATGAAAGACCGGTGCTAGTTTTAGCCGAAGCATCGAATACTACGCGACATTTCGTGGTAATGCTATGCTCCCGAATTACTGGATGATGAGGCAAAATAGAAATCATTTTATTATCATTTAAGGAAAGTTCACCTTTGAATGACATATGCTTTAACTGCTCATATTCTTCCAGAAATTCAGTGTAGCTTGCTTTTAAATTTGGATCGTTTCTAAACCGCGATTCCAACCCATAAAATCTTTTTAAACACGTTTTTCTCGAATCTCCCATATATTTTGCGATATCATTTTTAAATGTAAGCCTAACGATAAATCTACCTTCTTCATTGCTGATTGTAGTATTTACAAACAATTCTTCGCATTGAATTTCTTCTTGCGATAGAATTTTCTGTTGAGGAATCTCCTCTATTTCCCAAAACCTTGTCAAACTTTCCTGTAATTGCTCATTAGAAATACATAAATGACATGTAACGTTAGATTGTAGCGATTCCTTTTTACGAGCTGATTCGTAAATGTCCATTGGACCTGATATTATCCACCCAAACACGGTTTCTATAAGTATCGGCAAACGATATCCTAACTTTATTTTGCCATCTAAAACTAAATCATAAAAAGTTGTAACTCCTATCAAGAGGTCAACTGGTTTTTGAATATTAAAGTCATCATTAGCTAGAATAACTGATTTTGGTATATTAAGGATATTTTTATCAAAGGATATTAGCGGCAAATTAGACGTGATATTAGACATAACCAAAAAACTCATTTTAATTTTGTATTCGTTTACGCGAGATTTTAAGATTGCAGTTACCTTATGTTTTAAATTTACCAGATTTTGATTTATTCCTGCAATCGGAAATTCAAATTTTTGACGATCTAAATGCAAACGTTGACATAGATCCTCTGTGATCAAATTTACTTGACTACCTGTATCTAGTAATGCTGTAGCTTCATGCCAATTATTATACCTATCCATAATAAGAAGTGTTACTGTTGACAATAAGACCTGTGATATACCTATGTTGGTGTTTACAACAGAACAAGCAGCTTCTGAAATCTCATTATTAGCTATCTTACTGTTAATGTTAGTTACTTCGTGACAATCTATTGGTGTACGTGAAGGTCCGGGTACATTTTTTAACGCGTTTTCATGTGATAAAGAACTACTTGTTTTATTTACTTTTTCCCTGTTGTCATTGCGATTGGATTTAGCAATATTTTCATCATTGTGAAGTGCGGTATTGTGTTTACTCCCACACCTCTTACAACCACTTGATCTGCAATACATTTTTACGTGACCTGCGCGAAGACAATTTGTGCATAATTTTAAACTTCTTACCTTATTATATCTATCGTGAGTTGACAAATTTAGAAACAATGGACAATTAAACAAATGATGATTATTACTACATATCTGACAGCTGATTTCTTTCGTGATAGTATAAACCTGATTTAAATTGCGATTATTAGAAAAGGAACTGAACCTATTTTCTTTTGGTTTATTGTCTTTATTTTGTGCTTGTAAATAAGTTTTATCATTATCAGCTTTATCATTTTGTCTTTCTTCTAATCTAAAACATTTTTTGTTTAGGAATTCAATCAATGTCAGTTTGGGCAATGTATTCTCATCCTGTATATTATCCCACTCGTTTTTAGTGTCGTTATCTAACTTTTTTAAAATAATGAAAACTAGTATTATATCCCAATGTTCAGTTGGCTGTTTCATCTTTTCTAAAATATTAACGTGGTGGTCAACTGAATCTAACAATTTCCTGATACATGTGTAATTTTGTTTTGAAACTTCAGGCAGATTAAACAATAAACCCTTCACATGTGGCGAGTTCGGGCTGCGCACTCCAGAGTGGAGTGGAGTAAACAGACGTAAATGGAGTGCTCGTGATTTTACTCCCTCTACTCCGTGACAGGTGACAGTTGTATCAAATTCTAACCCCGCTTCTGCTGTTGTTTATCGTTTGTTTGTTGATGCGTTGTAGACCCGGTGAATGATATTTTACGTTGTAGAAGTGGTTGTATCGTGTTTTAGGCGTGTTTTTAATATTTTAAATTTTAGTTTACGAAAAGTAGGTTTTAGAAACTATGGATGGGCGACTTTTTATGAACCCTGTGAATTTTGCGCACGATTTATTTTTCAATAGCGATAGTGACGACGATGAGGTTAATATATTAGAAAAAGTTGACCAGTTCGCCGAATCTACAGTATTGTCAATGAATGATAATCAATTTAAATTACATTTTCGAATGAATCCTAATACATTCGATAATTTATTAAGAAAAATGCATACCGTTGCCAATGTGTATAATATAAATGTAAATGGACCTACTAGAACATCTCTGGAAAAAGAAGTAATGGTTATGGTATGGTGTTTGGGAAACATGGAATGTTTTAGGTAAGTAAATGATTTATTGTTTAAAAGTAATTCTAATTTCAAAGAAGAATTTTACAAGCCCAATTTTGAGAGGCTTACCAACTATATATAATTTTTTTTCTTCCAAATTTTAGGTCAGTAGCTGATCGTTTTGGAATTAGTAAGTCAACTTGCTGGGATATACTACGAAGGACATGCAGCTTATTAGAAAAAGTAAATAATCATTATAAAATTATTAAATGGCCTAATCAAGAAGAAGCTACAATTATTTCTGATAATTTCAACATGAATGGGTTTGGAGGTGAGTTTTTTAACTATTGGAATTGCGTTAATTTTATTTTAATAAAATGATATATTGTGTCTTATGGTTTTAGGTGTAATCGGTTGCATTGATGGAACCCACATAAAAATTACTGCACCAAAAGAAAATTCCAACTCCTATGTAAATAGAAAAGGTTTTCATTCTATATTACTCCAAGGCGTGTGTAATCACTTAATGTGTTTCACTAATGTGTACTGTGGTGAGGCAGGATCAATACATGATTTCCTTTTGTATAAAAGATCAGAACTATATTCAGCAATGCAAAGAGGAGAAATAACATTTTTTAATAATACCCATATGATTGGTGATTTAGCATATAAACTCCAAGAAAATTTGCTGGTAGGTTTTAAAAACAATGGCAATTTGACAGCCAGACAACAAAATTTTAATAAGATTTTAAACAAAATGAGAATTAAAATTGAGAATGCCTTTGCATTGCTGAAAGGTAGATTCAGAAGGTTAAAGTTTATGGAGACACGGAGAATGGACTTAATTGTTTTATTAAGTTTCTCTGCATGTATTCTACACAATATGTGCATTGTGAATGATGATATGATGGAGGATATTATGATAGATGTCGATGCTGAAATTGAGGAAGAAAGAAATAATCCCCAGAATCCAGAAAATTTTGATGAAGATCAAATAGTTATTAATGGTATCATTAAAAGAGATATGTTAGTAAATAATCTACCTTTAATAAACGATTAAAATGATTGATGACTTTTATTGCAAAATAATTTGAGCTAGTATTGAAACAAGAACCATAAAAAAAATATATTATATTAAACCAAAAATCAAGTACAAAACATATATACAAACACTTATACAAAAAATAAATATTACATTCTTATAAAAATAACAAAAAATCTCAAACAAATATATTCTTAATTGTCAAAACTAAAAACTATAAAAACAAAAGTAAAAACTATAAAAACAAAAGTAAAAACTATTAAAAACTCAAAAAAAAAAAAAAATATATTCCTAATAATTATCACAGCAAGTCAAAATCCATGTGATATAAAACAAAACTCTTACATTTTTTCAACCATTTTTTCGAATAAGTCGTTAAACCTGTCATATCTCTTTAATTTTTCTGCATGTCTCTTTTCAGTCTCAGAAACTTTCTGTTTCCTTTTTTTGCAGAAAGAACTTTCCAAAGTTCCACTTACTGAAGGAAGTACATTTTCTGAAAATATTAAAATTCAAGATTAGGACTTAAAATCAACATGGTACAAAGTAAAATAGAGTATAGTGATAATTTTACAGGGTGCAACAAAAAATATGTACAGCAAAAAGGTTACAGAGTGTTAAAGTATAAATGGTAAAAGTGGTTTTGTGTTCTTGCACTAAAACGGCTTAACATATTTTTATGAAAATGTAAATGGGATTATAGTATATAGTGACAAAATGGAGTTAATGGCTTTTAAAATGGTTTTAATTTTATAGTCTTTTAAAAGGGTTCCGCATCACTCTGGCCTACTTTTTTAAACAACGAAATTCAGTTGAAAATAAGTCGCCACTGAAATCTTACATCTGTTTTGAAATTTGTTTGCCTCTTGGTATTTGTAAAGCCCTAATTAAAATATTTTTTATTAATTTAAAATTATTCTCTTGGATTATCAAGCATCCATGAAGTTGTAAATAGTAAAAAAAAATCTTGAATAAACATTCAGTGATTTAATATCAATAGAACAATTTCATTGTGAATATTTTTTACTATGACCTTCCTTGAGGGGCCTATAACTCGGTAATTAAGACTTTCACAAACAAATACTTAGAGACAAAAGAATTTCAAAACAGATGTAGGATTACAATGACATTTTAAATACAACTAACTTAATTTTATTTAGTCACTGTATACTAACATCCCATGTGCACTTTTATAAAAATGTGTTAGGCCGTTTTAGCACAGCACAAAATCACTTCTAAAATTTCAACTTAAACACCCTGTAACTTTTTGACTATCCATTTATTTATGTAAGCAAGTTATTTGATTTATTTTCAATATCAGAAACTAAGATTAAATTTACTGTACATCTTTTTGTTACCCCAGTAAAACAAATGTTAAAATTTAATCAAAGAGCTGGAATTCTTAGGAGATGTCATGCAGCTTTATTATTGTACTAACAAATTGGTCAGATCTTAAATCAGATTAGAAGTGGGAAAAGAAACAATAATGTATCTAAACAATTTTAAGCCCATCAGTAATTTATTAATAATGTGTAAAGTAGAAATTTATTTTAATCAGGAGAAAGCGCAACCAATTAAAAAAAAATAAGAGAAAAGTTAGATACCCATTTTTCTGCAAATAAAAATCTCAATGTTACACGTTGCGGGGTTAAAAGTTTTTAAAAAGAATCGAGGCATAAATGGTGTCTCCATAATAAGTTCTTATGGGTTAACATTTTTCAAATTATCATATTCATTCATGGATTTTTCAAGTAAAAACTACAATTGTACATTTTGCTTTTTTCTTCGGAAAAATACGAAAATCACAGTTATTCTAAGAGAAATTTTTGTAACTATTATACATACAATTCAAATGAACGAACTTTTGATATTTATCAACCAGATTAATAATATATTACATATTGGGGTGGAAAATGTTTGTCTATTGAGAGACAAGTTTACCTACGTAAATTTTAACTTATTACTAATATATTAGTTCTTTTGTACCACAAAAATCTATTCTATATACAGAAATTTACATAAATGTACTAGTTTTAGAAGGTTACTGAGGTTAGTTTTGTTTCTATTAAAGATTGATGAACTATCAAATAGTTTATAAAGTACATTCAGCTACTACTTTTTCAATATTTTTGTGAATAAACCACTGATCTGTATTACAGATCAGTGGAATAAACTAACACAATAAATATGACATTTATATGACAGATCTTAAAACTTAACCATTCTTTTATTGTAAATTTGGTCTACTTTTAACATACAATCTTCTCAACCAATTCCTCCGGATCCAACAACCAATACTTTGGAGGTCGCCATCGAAGATCTTCCAATATCCTCTAGCTTGTGCGAGTGAAAACTACAGAGAGCCCCAGCATTAGAGTGAGCGGAAAAGGAATCGACCATGTTGAAATGGTGGCCAGGCCCTACAGGTTGGTATTATTCATTTCCTGCTTGCCCCAGTGCCACTCTGTGTAGGTCTCACACACATGTGCCAAGAGATATTAGATGTTTAATGGCCAATACTGTATTTATATATTAAAATCATAAAAATGTAACACCTAACATTATGTTAAATGTAATAAATATGCAAAGACAACATAAATGATGTTCATTTATGTATGAACAACATTATACCTATATAAATCAGTAGTATATGAAACCAAAATAACAAACGTCTTCTGATTTTATAAGAATAAGTTACAAATAAATAACCTTTGATGGTACAAGTAATATAGAATAAAATGTTATTGAATGGAATATTTATAAAGTTTAATGACACAGCTGCTCAGATTTACTTCATTTATATCACTGTAAATTGTATTATGATAAACTGTGTAAAACTAACCTTTATTAATTGTTACTCCTGAAATACTGGATGCAGTGGCAGGTGGACTTATTTCAGGTTTCTGAAATAAATAGTTGTGGAGTACATCAAAATATTCCCAATTCTTTTTGGCATTTCCCGAGGTGTTGTTGTGCAACAATATATTTTTATAAGTCCTTTTTAAAGTCTTCCATTTTGTTTCGCATTGCTTTTTATTTAAGGAAATATTTACTTTTTGGCATTCTTGAGCTACTTTTTCCCAAGCATTTTTCTTAATGCCATCAGAAAATATTTTGTCATATTTTTGTACTGTTTCAATTAACAATAAAGTATTTTCTTTGGTCCAGATTTTTTCCCCGTTTTTGTTAATTACATTATCTACTTTTTCAGTTTCTACAGTACCTTCTAGATTAAATTCTTTTAATATGTGTGTACTCATAGGAGTGTAGTAACACGTTTGAGCTGCAAAACAAGAAAAATAAGTACCTCATAAACTAAAATGTTTTTTCTAAGAAAAAATTACTTTAGCTCTAAGTAGATTTACGCATAAAAAACTATTTTGAATACTATAAAAAATCTACTCAACAACGGTGCTTAAATGAATATTTTAATGAGATTTTTATTACATTACCAAAAATACTTATCTCGTGAATTCATAAAGATTAAATAACTCGAAATAAATTATTGATATTTACTTACTGGTGTTATCATAGAGCAATATATTGTTATTGCTTACAATTACATTTTCGTCCGCATCAGTAACTAACGTGTGCGTAATTTTTGTAGGTTCAATATCAATATTGTTGCTATCCACAAAGCTATCCATCGCAGTACAGGAAACAAGACGCTTTTTAAATCAAAAGATACAAAGAGTAAAAAAAAATGGCTTTTGCTTAATTACAGCTCAACAAAGAAAAAGATAAAAAGAACAAAGGACATCTGGCATCGCCTGATCGATCGATCTGTAGCAAAACAAACTTTATGCGCATGCCCGATACCACACTCCATTGACTCCACTCCGCGATCTTCCGAACGGTCAAAAAGGAACTTTTATTTTAACTCCTTCCGTGCCCGAACGCTTTAGGTACTTTAGGAGTGAATAGAGTGAAAAGAGTGCGTAGCCCGAACTCACCAATGGTGCATGATAATATGTCGCTTATTTTCGTATTTTTTCTTTAATAAACTCAACGATAATTCATAATTTGTTTCAGTAGTATCGATATCTTGTATGGTTCTAAAGGCGGCATCTTTACAACAGCCTTTGAGATAAATAAATTTTTGTGTATTTGACAAATCGGACCTGTCGTGTACCAATGATTTAAATATGTCAAAGAAGCTTTGCCATGTTTCTATTGTGCCGTAAAATTTTGGTAAATCAATATCGGGTAGTTTAACAGTTGACGCTACAGATTGAATTGGTGTTGGAACAACTGAGGTTACTATTGTTTGCTTTTTAATTAATTCAGACGCATTACTCGAACATTTGAAAAACCTAGATTCTATAATATCGCGTTCTTTTAAGAACTCTTCGTCTTTGTCTAAGAGTTCCAATTTCGATTGAATAATTTCAAATTGTTCAAAAGCATTTTCTATCGCCTTTAACCTAGTTTCTATTTCGATAATAGCACCTTGATTATTTTTGTCTGATAAGAATTTTTCAAATCGCGTCAGTTTTCCCTTAAAAATCCCCCTTTCATGTTTAATTTTAGTTATTTCCGTTTCAGATTCAGTCATTTTAATAATAAAGTGAAATTAGATTAATTAACGTGATTAAATTATGAGTGATGATATTACGATTGATAACGAGACAATTCTACCACCTAAGTAGGGAAATAACGAGAAAAGCCAATGGAGACTTATAGAGTAAAGAAATGAAGGAACCGACTCACTTAGTCTCTGTTCGCAATGAATTAATTGAAGACTGGTATGCTAGTATTTTTCGTACCTGCACGTAATCTTCATCTACTTGGTATCTATAGGTCGTGAATCTTAATCCGGCTCGTAGCTGGCCAAAAATTGTTTAATACGTGATGTTTAATGCTTGTGGACTGTATCTTTGTGTCGTGGATTCAAAATACTTGGGAAATCTCCAAAATTTATTCATACGAAATCTATCTGACAATTCATATATTTTTTGACATACCAATACATAACTACCATACTTGAAGTGGCGTGCAAGATTACTTATTCGGTATAAATTTACCTATTTAAAATAGACCCTAAATAAAGTTTGAATACTTTGACCTACAATTCAATAATTATTCTATAAATTGGTTACAAATAATTAATAAACAATTTAAATATAATTTGAGTTTGATTTCAATTAACTAATCTACACCAAAGGGTGCATTGCATCCTAGATTACTTTGTATAATTCATTAAATACACCGTGTGTGTGTGTGTGTGTGTGTGTGTGTGTGTGTGTGTGTGTGTGTGTGTGTGTGTGTGTGTGTGTGTGTGTGTGTGTGTGTGTGTGTGTGCGTGTGCGTGTGCGTGTGCGTGTGCGTGTGCGTGTGCGTGTGTGTGTGTGTGTGTGTGAGTGTGAGTGTGTGTGTGAGTGTGTGTTCGAGTGTGTGTGTTCGAGTGTGTGTGTGAGTGTGTGTGTGAGTGTGTGTGTGTGTGTGTGTGAGTGTGTGAGTGTGTGTGTGTGAGTGTGTGTGTGTGAGTGTGTGTGTGAGTGTGTGTGTGTGAGTGTGTGTGTGTGAGTGTGTGTGTGTGAGTGTGTGTGTGTGAGTGTGTGTGTGAGTGTGTGTGTGTGAGTGTGTGTGTGAGTGTGTGTGAGTGTGTGAGTGTGTGTGTGAGTGTGTGTGTGGGTGGGTGCGTGCGTGGGTGTGCGGGTGTGTGTGTGTGTGTGTGTGTGTGTGTGTGTGTGTGTGTGCGGGTGTGCGGGTGTGCGGGTGTGTGTGTGTGTGTGTGTGTGTGTGTGTGTGTGTTAAAGTATTCTTGTAAATTAGGATGAACAATGCTAGAGGACAAAAGCCCTATAAAAGTAAGTATAGATTCCTTTGAATAAGTGTAACAAAAATAGGGGTGTACTTACACTTAGTAAAAAGATTGGTACCATTTGGAATGTAGTTTATGAAAAACTTAAGGGGATAGGTGGTGGGGGTTACAGTATGTATATTTTATAGTTAGTAGATACTTAATTTTGGTTTTAGATTGTTTTTATACTTTGTGAGCTACTTGCACTCGCATAAAAAAATATAGTTTCGATTTTATATTACCTAGTTATTGTTCATATATTTATTTAAGTCAACCAAATCACAAATGCATTATGTGCTGTGTTTCGCAGTGTAGAGTTTTATATTATATAGTTACTAGATTTCAGTTAGATAATAAATTTAAATCAAACAAATTAACATAAATTAGTGTATTTGTTCTCTTTTTAATATTTCTAACGAAACCTATAAGTAAAAAGTTCAAATATGACTTGATTCCCGCCTGATTCTTACAAGCTTGAAAATAGACAACCCTGTAAAATGAATCGCACATGCACCTGATAGAGATCACCGTCGGACATTTATCGCCTCCTTAAATACGGGCCTAGTTTTGCCCAATGAACTGGAGTGGGGTAGAAAGCCATTGTGCATATTGTATCAATAAAACAATATGCGACTCTATGGGCGCAGCCATTTTTATTTCTCATCTCACTCGGGAGTATTTATAATAACCATTTTCTGTTTCACTTTATTATTGTTCAATCCACATGCTGGTGGATCAGACAATAACAAAGTGAAATAGAAAATGGTTGTTATAAATACTCCCGAGTGAGATGAAAAATAACCTGTCTTTGCCCATAGAGTCGCATGTAAAGCCTATTGAAGAGCATTCTACCCCACTCCAGTTCATTGGTTTTGCCTGATACTTGCTGATTTAATATTTCTCTTGCATAGTGTTGTACATATATACTGGGGTTGTATGGCTATTAGTTCAGCCTAGAACACTGTTGCATATTTTTCTAAACTCAGCGAAATCGTTGTTTTCGACTTAGATTCCAGCCCGGCTCCTTCCTTGGTTTTTGAACCGTCTGTGTACCAGACGAGTTCAACCTGTACGGGAGGTCCCTGTTTCCAGGATTCTCGAGCTGGTATTTGAATTTGAAAATTTCTTTCAAATTTGTGTGTATGTATCAGAAGGCATAGCTAGAATATCATCCCTTTTTACTTGCCGATATAGCCTTGTGTGGTCGGCGCTATGTAGTTGGCTCATTAGGTTTTGTCCCTGCATTAGCCTGTGAATAGCTGACCTGGTTTCTCTTTGTATGAAGATGTTCAGTGGCGTGATATTTAATAATACCTCCATTGCTGCAGTCGGCCTAGTGCGCATGGCCCCACTTAGACAGGCGAGCCATTGAATACCAGTGAGTTGGCTTATTGCACTTTTGCCTGCGCAGTTTTGGTTACCCATGCCACTGCACCATAGGTTATCATGGGTCTTATTACCCTTATTGTGTATCCATATGGTCAGTTCTACGGTACATATAACTGATGCAAAATGCCATTCTTCTTTAGGTATTTAGTCAAAGCATGATCGCATATGGGCGGAAGCATCGGAGTCAACATACCAAACGCCGCTCGAGACTTTAACACCAAATGCTGCTACTAGAGATTTTTGATCATCTGATTTTTCTTAATTTGCCTTACATGTCCAACTTCACCACATCCCCAATATTTAATATTTCCTTGGTTCTTCGTTTCAGGCTTAAACTTACCATCGCAGATTCAGAACTGTTTTGTTTATTGCCTTAATGAGTGTCTCGAAGCAATTTAATTTTGACAAAATCACTCGTAATTTTAGCTCCTAAGTTCTGTATTGCCATAAGGGTCATAATCAGAAGCCACACCAGCTGACAGTGTCGCACCAAGAAACTCGTCTTCTACGGGCTTTTCCATACTAGCAAAAGCCATTTGAATAGACATAAACACTCAGTCACGTAAGTTTCCATAGACGTAAAATGTTCTAATCTCAATAAGCACATATTGAACGAAGCCTTTATCCTAAAAAGCTTTTTCTAGATTCCTCCACATATCCTTAGCAGGTTTACAACTTTTAATATGAGAGGAAAACAACAAGGCATATAACCATTAAACCTATTTTGGTTAAGGATTTTTTGTCGCTCCTAGTTCTTGTAGCCTGATCAATCCGAACCCATCAACAGCATTCCATACATTTAAATCTTTCAGGTACAACTCCATACCATACTTTCAATCTTGATCATTCTCCCGTCCTACTAATTCGGCAATACTAGGAAGGGACGATATATTTTCTAGATTACTACTTCCTTCCAGGCCCATAACCTGTTATAATGTTGCTATCGCAGGAAAATATTTAGACCACAGTTGATCTCAAAGACTTAATAGAGATTTGAAGTATTTTCAGTACGTTAACTTAAACGTCAATGCAGAAATATAATATTTACGTTGAAGTCCAAAATCTGAGCTGAAGTTTTTAAACGCATCGTGACAATTTTACCTTCCATAACAGATAATGACAATTAATATCATGATTTCTTCTTTCCTAATTAAAAGGAGGTTATTTTATTTGCGCTGCGTACATACGTAAGCTTACGTATGTACACGTAGACGTGAACGTGAAGGATATTTATAAATACGCATGCGTAGCAGAGTTGGGTAGTATCCAGATACTTCTGTATCCGGATACTTTATGTATATCCGAAAGCTCTATCCGGATACTTTTCAAATTTTGTATCCGGTATCCGTATCCATGACCAAATTTGTAAGTATCCGGATACTGAATACTTTTTTCGGCATTCGGGTACTTATTATTGGTAATTATTTACCACAATCGTAACTAATCCAATCCATATTATCACTATTTTTTTTTGTGTGTCATCGGCGTCGACTACTACGGCCATTAGCCTTTATATTTTATTGTTCATTTTGTTTTAATGTTTTATATTCACAGAATAAAAATAATAAACAATTTATTGAGTAGTTTTTTTCCTGTTTCTATTATATCGCTTTCCATTTTCGATAATTTATTTATGCCTAGTATTGTTTATTGTTACTCGTAATCAATCTTATTGCATAAATAACTATTGGTATGCAAACATTATTTTAACTCACATTGGGGTCTATTCTGTAACAATTTCTTTATATTTAACGGCCTTTAAAAATATTGGCGGCCTTTAAAAGTATATTTGTATTCGTTAATTTACTTCTGTCATTATTTAAACAGATTTCTTTAAGATAGTCCTCTAATGTATTTTAAAGATCCGTTTAAATAATGACAGAAGTAAAGAAGAAAATATTTTTAAAGGCCGTTAAATATAAAGGAATTGTTACAGAATAGACCCCTTTAAAAGTATCCGTAAAAGTATCCTTTAAAGTATCCGGATACTTGTATCCGAGTACTTTTTAGGTGAAAGTATCCGAATACATTGTAAGTATCCGTATCCGGTACTCGGATACTTTTTTCCTGTATCCGACCAAACTCTAACGTGTAGATGTCAATTTTCACGCATACGTTTACGTTCATAGCATCACTTCAACCGTTGTATGAAAATATTAATATCTTCATACAACGCTTCAACTCTCTAATGTAAAAATACCAGGATTTACTTTCGACAATCCTTTTTACTTTCCTATCTATATACAGATATAAGGAAAGTATAGGAATCATGATTTTTTTCGACCTCCAGTTTTCGACGGATTTTTACGTTTTAGGGTCCCCTGAATCCGTTTTGACTATTTTCGGGATGATGTGTGTGTGTGTGTGTGTGTGTGCGTGCGTGCGTGTGTGTGGTGTGTGTGTGTGTGTGTGTGTGTGTGTGTGTGTGTGTGTGTGTGTGTGTGTGTGTGTGTGTGTGTGTGTGTGTGTCTGTGTGTCTGTGTGTCTGTGTGTCTGTGTGTCCGTGTGTCCGTGTCTGTGTGTGTGTGTGTGTGTGTGTGTGTCTGTGTGTCGCATAACTCATGAACCGATACACAGAAAAACACCAAATTTTAAACTTAAGCTTTGTTCCAGCGTCCAATGAGCTGATTAGTTTTTGGGCAGAGTCGGAACATCTGGGGGGGTACTTTATACATGATCATTTTTATATTTTATAGAATATATCTGTTATTTACGTTTAGGGAAGAAAAAGTTACTTCTTATAATATTATCTATAATTTTTGTTCTATAAAAAATTTTCCTAAAATGGTCCGTATTCGAGAAATTTGACAAAATGTAAAAAAATATTTTTTTATAAAAATTGTTCAAACAAAAGTTGTTTGTAATATAATTCTCTATAATTTTTATCCCATACATAATTTCTCTAAAATGGACCGTATTCGAGATATTTGAGAAAATGTGTAAATTTCGAAATTTGAAGAAAACTCATAAACGGAAAAAGAAAAAACATTAAATTTTAAACTTAAGTTTTATTTCGGCCTGACGTGAAATGATTAGATTTTGGACAAAGTCGGAACATCTGGGGGGGTACTTTATAGTAGGCCGTTTTTATATTTTATGGAATATATCTGTTATTTATGTTTGGAGAAAAAAATTGTTCAAATAAAAGTTACTTCTAATAATATTATCTATAATTTTTGTTCCATGTAAAAATTTCCTGAAATGGTCCGTATTCGAGAAATTTGACAAAATGTGCAAAATTCTGATTTTTATGAAAATTGTTGAAATAAAAGTTGTTTGCGATATCGACCTCTATAATTTTTGTTCGTACATGATTTTTCTAAAATGGACCGTAATGGAAAAATTGTAGGAAAAGTGCTAAATAAAATGTTTTAGTATTTTCGTTTTCAATGAATATCTATAGAAAAATGTTTCGAGGTAGATGTATGTGGAAAATGTATATATTTAGTTTATCCTCCTCTAAACATTTATAGAGGTGCTGCAATAGGTTGTACAAAATAACCGGAAAAAGCCTGTAATAACTAGATAGGAAAGTCATGTGTTGGACACATCAGATTTTTTATTTTTAAAAATGAAAAAATTATTACCTAAACAGTACATAAAAAACTAGAATGAAGATACCCCCCTTAACCTCAATTTTCAATCAGATTTTTCAGAAACAGGCTTCTTCCCCTTATAAAGCTTGATTTTTCCTGAAGAATTCATTTTTTTTAATATTTCAACCCCCTTATTCCCCCATTTTTATCCAGATTTGTTTCAGAATTAATATAGGTTTCATTCCTTTAATAGAGCTTGATTTTTACTAAAAAATTTATATTGATATCGCCAAAGAATACCTACCCAAGAAGCGAAACTAAATGGTCGATTCGTGGACAAAAAACTGCCAAGTTTTCTCAGTGTTTTAGAGGTGGTTTAATGTCAAATATAGCTGTCAATTTATGAAGAGCAACGTTTGGTATATTTATTAGCGTTTTGTGAAAACTGTAGTATAGTTAAGTAGTTGTATTTAAATAAGTAGTAATTAGAAATTAAATAGTTTTAAAATTTTTAGCTATTATATGCCGACACTCGAACGGCGGATATAACTATTGAAATTTTATAGAAAGTTTCTAGACACTTTGAAACACACTATACGACATAACAATTTTGGGTCCGCTGACACTAAAAAAATTGTTTACCTTAAAATTTGTTGTCTGGTCTCCAGGGTCTCCATTATAAAACAAATGTGAAATAAACCATTTTCAATATTAAACCATTCATAGAGGAATAAACCATGCCAATTTTTTTCATAAACGATCAAATTTTCTTATTTTTCGTTTTTAGTCTGTTAGAAAAACAAATAGTAAATTATTTTCAATGATAATTGACGTTTCTAGTTTCTATAAATGCGGTGTTGCCAAATCGAATAAGAAAACATACGCCAGGAAATATAGTTGGGTTAATGAAAGTTGGCTGTTTGGAAATGGCTCGACCATACACCGTAGCCGAAAAATTACATAGTGTCTTGACCAGCAGGTGAATTTGGATCCCGAAGTGAAAACATTTGTAGTAATCACAGATATCCGTCTTTTTATTTAATTTCATGATGATTGTGCGTTAATTACGGCATGTCGTTACTTATCTATTATTTGTAAAAAATACTTTTTTTTTCAATTTGAGCTGTGTTCAGGCCGTTGGAGTCTATGCCGGTCGGCGTAGCCAGGTATGGGTTAAAATCTTCTGGTGGCGGCTTCGCTACAAGAAGTCGTTGCTTCGTCTTCTTATTGCATATCAATATTGACGTCGAAGAGTACTCTGCGGATGAGGGCGAGAAAGAAGATCTTGATATGGGTAATTTTTAAATCGTTAGTGTTATATAATTTTTCTGATACTGAAGTCAATTGGTTGACCTGGTACAACACAGGGAATAGGTAAAAATGACCATTGCTATGTAATAATTGATATGGCAACATTGTATTTCTTTTAGACACACGTCACACTACCAATGTCAATTGTCATTGGGTTCATGAAAATTAGATCATTTTGACGAACTTTAATAAACTGTTTACGAAAAAATTTGGAATGGTTTATTGCTTTATGGATGATCTAGTATTATTATTTAGCAGTTTCTATAACAAGAAATTAATCAAAATGATGTAGTTCAAATTTTTTCAACATCGAAATTAGAGGAAACATTTTAAAGTTTTAAGGTAAGAAAAAATTATTTTAAAGCGTTTGCAGGGCAAAAAAAGAAATTTGAAGTGTGTTTCAGAGGATCTAAAAATAGCCCAATCGACCGTTGGCGGATTTTACCGATTTTTTATTACATACAAAAAAGACATTGCGCTGTTCGTTAATTTTAATGAACGTTTTTGCATCCAGCTGTAAATGTTTTATTTTTAAAATTATTAAATCAGTATTACCTACAATAATGATAATTTACGACTACGTATTATGCATCGTTTAATTTCTTAGTCTTTTATTTAAATTGTTTTTTTTTGTTTTTTAAACCATTCGAATTAAAACAGTAAAGAAACAATAATATAAAACAATAATTATTATATATGCCAAACTCATTCCGAGGAACCAAGTCACTGCTATCAGGATGCAATCGAAATGCATGCAGCTACCTACAGTACTTCTGGATATGTAACGTGTGGAGGGTGGGTTACCCCATGCACTTAGGCCTCACTAGGCCCATTGTGTATTCTCCTAAGATAATAAACACGTAAGTCCGTCTACAGATTGAATGTAGGTTACAACGTCGCTAAGAGGTGCTTTTCTTATATCGGCCGGTGTTAGCCAATACTCTCCGAAAACAAATCTTCTAATAAATAAGAGCATAAGGCAATCATAGAGGATATTCTCAATGGTCTCATCTTCTTGTTCGTACCCCCTGCAGGGTGCGGATTATGACAGCGCCATTATATGGAGATGCTTCCGTACTTGGAAATGACCAGTTCGAATACCTGTGAACAGGCGCAAATTCTGTTTAGTCATAGTGTAGTGTTGTCAGAATAACTTAAAAGCTCCCTGGCAACTCTGCAGTTTCTGGTTTCATCCCATCTTTCCTTGAATTTCCCAAGGGAATGTTCTTTAATTAGGTCTGTCACTACCCATGTTGTCAGTCCAATAGATAAGGGCCATGTCCAAAAAGCATTTGATTGATGGATACTCTTGCCAAAGCTTCGTGACAATCTAGTACTAACCCTGAGTAAATTCGTAGTCTGTTCAGGGTAATTAGTGCTTATCTGCTATCTGTATAGATGTGCTTGTGCCTACCAGTGATATTGTTTGTGGTGATTTCTTTTGCTGCTATGACAATCTCTGTGAGCTCGGTTTGAACTACATTGCTCACAGCCCATTGTATATTGAGGTTCAAGGAATTGGGAGTATATTCCACATCCTAAGCCTTGTTTTGTTTTAGAACTGTCGGTGTAGATATAAATCGTACCTGCCACTTACGGCTCTTCTGTTCTATTCCAGTTTCTATTCCAACCGTGCAGAGGCGTGGCATTGTCATCAGAACAACCTTGATGTAAATATCAAGGGAAGTGAGACTAAGAACGACATCCATGGCTCTGGTTGGTGTGGTTTTCATGGATCCTGTTATGTTGAGACATGCTGTTATTTGAATTTGTTCTAGTTTGCGGATAGCTGTCAATTTTTGGATTTTCGGTACCCAGACAACTGCACCGTATGTAAGCATAGGTCTTATGATCGCCATTAAGTCCATGTGACAACTCTAGGGGAGAAACCCCAGGTGCACCCCAGGGGTCGGCGGCATTGTTCATAAGCAATGTATGCTCTTTTGACTCTATTTTCTAAGTGTGAATTCCATGTTAACTTGTTGTCAAAGGAGCTACCTAGGTACTTCACCTCTGTTGCAAAGTTTTGTTTTATGTTTAGGAGCTCTAGAGGTTTTATTTACATTTTCCTCCTTTTCCTTGTGAAAACGACCATTTCTGTCTTCTTGGAATTCATAGACAGTGAATGGTCCTTGCACCACTGTTCCATAATTAAAGAAACGAGTGGATAAAGGTGTCATGTCACAAAAAGATTATTTCGAGAAAATCAAATTTAAAGTTTTACAATTGCATTACGATATATGGCTCATGCCCAGCTAGCACAAAAACATCTACGTTAATAGGTAGGTTAAATACGTAAGTAACAAATAGATGTTTCGCGAGGTTTTGATTTCCCTCAACTACTTCTCATTAAAGTTGCATTTACGTTGTATAGTAATGTTATTACGTTCCCTTAAAACAACATTGCCGAAAGGCTTGGCAACGTTATGTGCTCGTTGGGTGATACCTTCCTATCTGATGAATAGCCGTTATTTATCAAAATTGTAAATTAGAACTATAACAAACAAAAAATATAGTATATTTTAAGTATAATAGGCCATAAAAATATTTTTTTTATAATGTGACATGATACATTTATCCACTTGTGTCTTCAATTGTTCTCAAAATTCCATATTTGCAGAATGACCAGGGTATTTGCTTATGCTATTGTGTAGTGACTTTCATTATTTGTAGATACAGTAATGATACTTATTTTGTTATTAAAATAATCTATTTTACATAAAGAACACAGTAAGAATTTTCTGTTTGTCATTGTTACTTTAGTATATGTGTTCAATTCTTATGAACCAAACGACAAAAATTGATTAATTTTCATACGTTTCCCAGTGTATTAAGTTCCCATGCTTTAGTACATACGAAAACTCATTCAGTTTCGCTTCTTGGGTAGGTATTCTTTGATATCGCTTTTTGGTGTTTGATTTTTAATTTTTTTATTTCAACCCAGCTCAACCCGCCCTTTTATTTCAGATTTTTTGAGAATGAATATTAATAGCTTCATCTTCTTATTATATAGAGCTTGATTTTTACTAAAACTTTCTTGTTGATTTTTTTCATAATCACTAGGCTTTGTCTCCTTATAGAGCTTGATTTTTTTTCTAAAATATTCATATTGATATCGTTTTTCATTTTTGATTTATCGTGCGGACAAAAAACGTGACATCGAACAATGATCGAACAGAAGAAACTGATGAACGCATAATACTCTTTACAGACTACTGTGTGAAGAGTATAACAATACAACTGAATCCGACCTCCAGTCCGACTCACTTGTATTTCGCTAATGCGGGACTGTTTTAAAGCATTAAAATTGTCATTTTTAAATTTAAGCGGCAAATGGAAACTTTTAGTATGTGAGAAATTTGAGCTTTTCTTATCTTAATGATACTAACACATAACATTTTTTGATAAAAAAATATATACCTACCTATTTGTAAATCAAGTAATTCTAGGAAAAGGATTAACACATCACAGTTAAATAAAACAATTATGATTGCCATACTATAATACTCGCAACCATCAATGAACTAAAAACTAATTTCATTTCCCAATAAATGTACCTATGCAATATTTTTAAAGTTTACATTCCTTCAGTGTCAGTTATTTATTTGTGGTGGGGAAAATTTAAGAAATCAGAGAGTCAATTTTAAATTTCCTGTTTCAGTGTTTGACCGAAACGTGATTAAATCAGTGAACGCTAGTTGAAGGTCAGTGGATTAAATAGTTTTTAGGTAGACATAAAACACATCTTTGCCTATTATTTTATCACGTTTGCAAGACATTTTAATATGTTCAGTAAGTATGTTTTTTTTTACTAAAAAAATTTAAAGCCTCGATTGATTTGTGAAGATTTTGATTTACGCATAATTTCTTATCACATGAACAAGATAATTTTGTTTTAATGAGTTATTTTTCTCAGTATAACAAAAGGCAGATGATTTATTAGTATTTGAGATAAGCCTATCTGTTGTCGGTATAATACATGATATTTAATATTTCTAGTTCAATATCTAAACATATTTGCAAGTGCTCAAGTTACATTTTACAGTGAAAGCACATAAATATGTCTGGTGAGTATACTATTTAATTGTTTTGCAAATATATTTATTATGATTATGCCTACAATTTACAAAATTATTTGTTTAAAGTAGGTACATATTCACCATAGTTAGGTACTATAGAATTTACTGCGTATATCAGAAAAAAAAGCTCTAAGGGACATTTTAATCAATTAATTATAAATATAATAAACGTTTATTTATAGGTCCATTTGGGTTTAAAATTGAGCCTTCAAATTGTGCAACGTGTCGACATAATTTGTCATATCCCCAGCATCAGCGTCCTCAATGTCCCCATCACCCCCCTGTTGAAATACACCACCATCATCACTATACCCCTCCTTCTGCACCTCCTTCGTCAAACTATCCTGCTGCAGGGAGTTATTATCCTCCCGCAGGAGGTCATTATCCCCCACCAGTAAATAATTATCCTCCAGGAGGTTATTACCCGTCTCCGCCATCTTATCCAGGATTTGTCAAAAGTAAGTAACCGGTAATTGTTGAAAAAAAGTAATATTTTTGTTTTTAATTACAATGAGATGTTTTTACCATTCTTTGCATGGCCCTATATTTATACTGTGCCCACGGATGGACTTAAATATACTTATTTTAAATTACAAAAAAAGTAATTCTTCGTAACTTCTTTTGCTTGTTAAATACGTTCAAATTTTTCATTTGCGAGCGTTAGAAAAAAAATTGTATTAAACAATTTTTAATTTTGCAAATCCTTATTTGTATTGTTTATTGCGTATTTATTTAACAAGCAAAAGAAATTATGAAGAATGATAAATTTAAAAAAATATTACAAATATAGTTTTGTTAAGTCCATCCGTGGACATACTGTATATATAGATGTACCGGGTGTCCAAAATAAAAAAGAATGCCGTCTTCAATTTTGCTACCTACTCCCTTATCTCTTAGGGCCGATTCCACCGTTGTGTTAAACGGAGATTAAAATGACATTGTTAATGTAAAAATGTCATTTTAAACTTCGTTTAACACAACGGTGGAATCGGTCCTTAGCCACTTTAATTATGAAATTGTTTTCCCAAAATTTTACTTTGGACACCCAATAATTAAGGCTCTATGTAAGGCAGATAGGAGTTGAACAAGTGAACGCGATACATTGGCGTAGAAAGTTATTTTATAGGTGCTAATAACAATTTCGCGTGTATTTATCTAAATATATATAGTTTAATAAATTGTGAATAGCTGTTGAAATTGTTTAGATTTATGATTTGGGATATTATGCTTGTTTAAATAATTATTTCTAGCCTATAAATACATATGCTTGCCTGGTATTATTTTTATTCTACGATTCAACAGTGGCGGGTAAACACTTAAATCGATGGCTTAATTCTACAAGTCGTAACCCACCATTTTTACGAATTCACGTTTACTCAATAGAAAAAGATGGACACTATCCAGACACTATCCAGACACTATCGGTCACTAAAACCTCTTATTCCAAATAAAATTATTTCTAGTTGATTCCCGCAACAACAAGTCCTAATCCGCACGATATACTTTTTATATTGAACAGTATTGCTATCTCGAAGTCGGTTAAATGGGAAAAAAGTTGTACTTTTGCAAGACTAATTTAGTGATGTTTTAAAACCGGGAACAACAGGACCGGTTTTCAAGATATTTAAGGAAAACCAACCCACTAAACATGAAACATTACCAGTCTTTTTTGTAACGTTTCTCATAGACTTTTCTTGATATATTTTTGAAACGATACTAAAATATCCCATAGATGTTTAAAGTTTAACATCATATTCATTAACATTCCTCGCATATATCTACAAATTAAGTTTTATGTACTCTGCCAATACTTGAATTAGCTAGTTACATAAACATCTTTTGTACTTATTTTTAGTTACTTCCTGTAACAAACATTTATACGATTTTAATTTTTATAGATCACAATAATATCGCATACAGGTCAGCACAGTAATGTGTACAAGTTACACGTTTTTAAGATAGCTATCTTTAGTCTTTACATTGCAGACCTGGCAGACTTAACAGTTCGTCCCACGTTCATAGATGGAGATCCAATGATCGCTTGATACTTACGTAACCGGTAGTACTGTATATTATGGAGCAGTCTATTGCCCAGTATTAGGTATTTCATCAAAGATCTTACTTTTACCTTTGACTTTAGACCATTGTATAGCTTTTAACTTCAAGTTTATTTATTTTTATTCTGTTTTATATAGATGAAATATAAAATATTTATATAACATGGTCCATATAAAATTTATAAGACAAAGATAAAAAGGTATGAACACTGTTATCATATTTGGAATGTCACATTTGGTTCATTAATATGATTTTATTTTATGGGCTTTTATAATAACATCTACAAGAAGTAAAAATACTTTCTTGGACATAACAGGAATGCCACATCTGGTTTGTTAAAAAGACATCATTTTTGGGAATTTCCAATAACGTTGAATAACGTAACAATAAGGTAGCGCTGTAATATCACCGCAACGTCTACATTGTTTCATCACAAAAGTAAACGTCCCTACTATGAGCTTAGACGGTTATGAGTCCGTCCTACGGATGAAAACAATAGTAAAAATGAGAGTTACAATGTAACAATGTGATGTAAAGTTCTCATTAATTTAACGTTTTCATGCATAGTGGGAAATGATTCTATTTTCGATTGTATTGCTTTTATTTTACATAATCGAAAAAAATTGTAATTTGATTTTTATTTGGTATTAAGTAGCGCTTAATTTAGTGTAGACATATTTTGTATACAACGTTTTGTTTCTGGAGGGCCACCATCAAGTATATTTTTTTGAATATGGACCTGTATTTCATATTCTATTTTAAAAAAGTACTTTTAATCCTAAATTGAACCGTGTAATACACATTAGTAGTTTAGGACGTTTTGATACTTTATTTTATTATTGCTATTGCAAGGTCACTATAAATTTAATTTTTTTAATAAAGATCTGTATTTTTTATTATGCTTTTTTACTTAGATTACTGCCAAAACCACAATCCTAAGATTATTTTTAAATTAATCGCCGTTTCGTTACATTTGCTTCCTTTGCCAGAAATTTAATATCAATCGTACCTGAGCCATACCTGTTGTGTTAAAAAGGGTTGGCCGTTAATAAGGAGTAATTTTTTCTATTTAACATACCGTGTAGTTCATCAAGGTAGAATAGTTTTGTCTGTCCAAAGAATATTATTGTAGACTGGTCTATCACTATTTAGGCGAGTAACAAATAAAATAAAATATTCTAGAGTGATCTAATAATATTAGATGTAAACAATTTTTTTTAAAAATTATTTTTTTTACATTTTGTCAAATCTCTAATACGGACCATTTTATATTTTATAGATAATAATATTGTAAGTAACTTTTATTTCACGAATTTTCTTCTCCAAACGTAAATAACATATATTCCATAAAATATAAAAATGACCACCTATAAAGTACCCCCCCAGATGTTCCGACTCTGCCCAAAATCTAATCAATTCACTGGAGGCCGGAATAAAGCTTAAGTTTAAAATTTGGTGTTTTTCTTTGTATCCGTTCATGAGTTATCGAGGATACAGACACACACCGCACACGCACGCACATCATCGCGAAAATAGTCAAAACGGATTCAGGGGACCCCAAAACGTAAAGAAACGTCGAAAACTCGATGTCGAAAAAAGTCATGATTCCTATACTTTCCTTATCTGTATACAGATAGGAAAGTAAAAAATAGAAAACAGTTTAAATAATTTTTGTAAAATTGCTTATCGTTCCTTTTTGTTTCTATTTTATACTGTGGTTTTTTCGTTATTTATTTAAATATTTATAGATTATTAAATCATTTTACAGTAATTCTTCAAATTTTACTTTGTTATTCGTCTCAGTAAAAATAGATTAATAATACCTACATCCTCTATGGAAAGATGAAACTACCTTGATAAATTCTGGATTGTTAAATAGAAAAAAATACTCCTCATTAACCGCCATCCCTCTTTAACACAACAGGTATGGCTCAGGTACGATTCCTATAAAATTTTTAGTAAAGGAAGCAGATGTAACGAAACTACGATTAATTTTAAAAAATAATTTTAGGAGTGTAGTTTTGGTAGTACTCTAAGTAAAAAAGCATAATAAAAAATACAGGTCTGTATTAAAACAATAAAATTTATAGTCACCTTCCCAGCAAATACAAATATGTAACATATATGTATCATTTACATGAAAAGGTTCCATGTTACATAACAAAGTAACTTACATGTTACATAATAACTTACGTGATAACTGTGAAAAATTACCTAATTTTGTTATAGAGTAGGTTCCTTATATGTGATGTATTGGATTAAGTACATGCAAGGAACAGTGTTACATATCGAAAGACATGTAACATTTATATTACCATTGTAACATTTAATATGCTTCATTATTACAGCACATATATATTACTTTTTTCATATAACATTAGTATTATAAATGTTACATAAATGAAGGTATGTAAATGTGTCATCTAAAAATGTAGGTATCAGTTACACTAAATTTTATTTTTAATTAATCTTAAAAATGTATATTTCAATTAATTCCCGCCTGAGAACATGTAGAAGTTCCCCCGTATTTCTGTTTTCCAGGAATTACCGTTTTTCAACAATTGCGAGTACCCTCGTAGATTAAAATATTCTTATATTTGACGAAATCCGAATGGGCATTTTACCTTTATTTGTCAAGGTACAAGAAGGATATTTTTTATATTTCTAAATTGTAAACAGTCAGTTGTAGTGGTGGTATTCCCCACTCGAGCTCACTGGTCTTCCATCTTGCTTTACCGAAAAAGCATAAATTAAATGAGATCTGGGAATTACGCTCTCTTCTCGCTTGACAGCCGCCGTAAGCTCTTCTCTCGTGATTGCCGACAGCCGAAAACTATTCACCCTTAGTTTAGTACCTAGTGCCGTGAGTACCGTGATTTAGTTCATCGATCAACCCCGTTTATTTTTCTACAGGTAGGAAACCGCTTATTTTTTTTATTTACAATTAGTTTGGGACACCCATCTGACAAGTGAAATAATTTTGATTCATGCCCAGCATTTCATCCCTTAGTGGAAAACCGTTGGCAATTTTTTATTTGAGGTTGGACCTAGACTAGACACCGAGTGTTCTCTTTGTCAGTAGGCGAAAATTTTCGTTTCCCATCGATTGGTTATTAAGATACAAGGGGACTCGAACAATTTTGATTTCATTTATTTGCTTGCATTTGATTACCGTCATATTTAAATTGTTTTCAAGTGTAATAATTTATTTTCATACATTTTCCGTATACTGGGCGTTTCACACTTCCCAGTCCAATTAGCCTCCTGAGCTAATAAACCATAAATATGTCTATATGTTTAAATAATTTTCAATAATAATAATTTATTTTCCATAGATATTTCCCTACGTTTTATTAATTTATTTTTATTAAATTTTCCGAATATAGGGATCCGTCAATATTTAAATAATTTTCAACTTTAATAATTTATTTTTATTAAATTTTCCGAATATAGGGATCCGTCAATATTTAAATAATTTTCAACTTTAATAATTTATTTTTATTAAATTTTCCGAATATAGGGATCCGTCAATATTTAAATACTTTTCAATTTTAATAATTCATTTTTATTGAATTTTCCGGATATAGGGATCCGTCAATATTTAAATACTTTTCAATTTTAATAATTTATTTTTAAAGAACAGATTTTCCGAAGGCAGGGAGCCGTTCATATATAATTACCGTTGTATTTTTTTTTTTGTAAATATATATTTTAGTACCTATTCCTATGTTTCTATTATTGATGGTTCTTGACCGTTCTCTTTCAGGGTACCGTAGGGTACGAGGTAGAAAGAAGATAAGTGTTTTAGTTTTATTTACTGGCGCCTGAGCAACCCCTATTCGGGAATCACCTTCATAGCGCCACACAGACTCGCTGATTCACTGTAGGTGAACCAGGAGCCTGTCACAATACTTAAGTTGGAACCATATGGAAAACTTTTGTATTATTGGTTTTGTGAAAAAATGTATTCTTGATAAAAAGTTATGCATGGTCCAAAACTTAAAATGCAACCATCAGATGTAATTTTTTTTAAGCCGTATACGAGGTTTGTCTAAAAATATGAATTTTATTCAGGAGTAAAATACCTTTATTTTTTACAATACAGAAGAATATTATAAAGTAAACTTACTTTGAATTAAAAGTTATATTCAAATATGCAATTACAGTCATTTAGCATGAAAATTCTGGTTATGTGATTATTTACGTTTTACATTATAAATTATTTGTAGTTATAAATTAATCACCAAACCTGAATTTTAATGCTAAATGGCTGTAATTGCATTATAAATATAACTTTTAATTTAAAATAACTTTACTTTATAACATCTTCTGTATTGTAAAACATAAAGGTATACTGTACTCTTGAGTAAAATTCATATTTTTTGGCAAACTTCGTATACAGCTTAAAAAAATTGACTTTTTATCTAGAATTTTTTTCACATAACCAATAATTAAAAAGTTTCCATATGGTTCTAACTTAAGTAAACACACTGTATGACAAATACAAAAAACGTCTAAAATATTTGGAGGAATAAAGAAAAGTAATTTAAACGTATTTGTTAGGTATATCAATAATTTTATTGGACAAATTCATGAAACCAAAAACGTATTATAGAAATATTGCACACAAATATAATAACCCAAATTCATCATAAATATCACAAAATAACTGCTATTAACAACGATCCGCGGCCTCAAAATCCAGGGCCCCATCAAGCATGACCTGAAAAGAGAACAAAAATTAATATTTACACCTCAAATGTATCATCGAAATACGGTACACACATATAATAACTCAATTTCATTATAAAAACACAACATACCTGCTATTTTCCACAATAAATCCAAAAATGTTACAGGTATCTCCATAAAACGCCTATAGCCGCCATTGAACACTGAAACGCTACTAAAAATAATGCACCAGATATACCTACTTACCTACCTAAAAAACATGCGTATTTCAAAAGGACCGTCCTAAACTACTAATGTGTATTACACGGTTGAATTTATGGTTAAATGTACTTTTATAAAATAGAATAAAAAATGCAGGTCCGTATTAAAATAAATATACTAGATGGTGGCCCTCCAGAAGAAACGAAACGTTGTATAAAAAATCTGTCTACGGTAAATTATGCGCTACTTAATACCAAATAAAAAATCTAATTACAATTTGTTTTTGTAATTTGTAAAATAAAGGCAATACAATCGAAAATAGAGTCATTTGGTTTTCCTTAAATATCTTGAAAACCGGTCCTGATGTTCTCGGTTTTAAAATACCACTAAATTAGTCTTGCAAAAGTACAATTTTTTTCCCATTTAACCGACTTTGTAACTCTTACGATTTTCGAGATAGCAATACTGTTCAGTATAAAAAGTAGCTACCCTGTATGTTTCAGGAGAGAGTTTTTGTCTCTACTGTAAAATTTACTCTTTGTGGGTTACAAGGATGCGAAATTATCGTATTATCGAAGTCATCAGACGGGATTCGACGTTTACCACCTCTCTACCAAAGGCCTGTTCAGTTCAACTTCTGTTCAGAACATGCTGTACAAACAACGATTAATAATAGTGTTTTCACTTTTGGTTGATTTAAGTGACCTTGTATCTCACCCTGCATTATGATTTCCTTTCGTAGGTTATTCATGGGTAGATTCATCTTTGGGGCACGCCTTGCCTCATACTGCAGTCAGAGGTGGGACAGACGTTGACGGACAGCCCATGTATGTTGGTAGGGCGCACCATGAAAGAGATTTAATCCCAGCTAAAATAATACCAGGGCGAAGATGTTGTTACGTTTCATATAACGGAAAAGAACATGCCAAAAGCACATACCAGGTGAATTACCTTTGTAGTATAAATACGCTAAAGTTCCAAAAAAATATAAGATTAACAATATTATTACATTTAGGTGTTATGTGACGCTCGAGCGGAATGGGTACCAGATCAAGGAGGAAGAGTACATCCTGATGCTATTGAAGGCGGTCGAACTGATAATGGCGAAACTTTGTACATTGGACGAGTTATCCATAAAAATTCGATGACCATCGGCAAGGTAAAAGTCAAAGTGAAATTATTAATTTAAAACAGAACACTTTGGGAATTGCATATTTGAACTATATCTGTAAACAAAACAAAATTAACTGGACTGGAAGGAGCCCGAATCCAGTGGCGGCTCATGGTCTAGTCTCCGCGGTGGGGCTAGTTTTGAAGTAAACTTAATTTAGTACATTTTTTTAAATATTTAGATTTTGAAGTCTAAAGTTAAGGGTTATTTTAAAATTTTCGAAGACCAACTACACTTCCGGTCGTTAGCACGAAAGATAAAGACGTTAAAAATATATGTGTTGTATGTAAATATTTAAAATCTGTCAAAAATGTATCAAAAATGCAAAAATATTAGAAAAAATGCACTTGTACCCTTTTAATTTTAACTTAATTTATTAATCTGGGCGAATACAAAATAGAACTGTTTAGAAAGGCAAGTTATTTTTATTAAAGAATTAGTATAATTAATTTTCATAGTTAAGATTCAATGACGTCATCATCTAGCTCTTTTTCTTCGAATAAAGTTAAGTACCTAGCTATTCATTTGGTTTTTTCTCAACTGAAGTTGGTGATCCAGGATGCGCTGAAGTAGACTCGTTTAAAGGATTTTCTAGTATAAAATTGTATGTATATGCGCGCCACTGGGAATACTTCACGATATTATGTGTCTCGAGAATATTGGAGATTTAAATTTGTGCAAAGATACGATAAGGCAGCACTCTACAGGTAATTTTAAGAAAAAAGGTAGGAAATCCTCCTATTTAAAAACTATTAGATATTTATTAATACAAAAAGCAGCAAATTTTTATAGATTTAATTCAGAATGGCGCGTATTTTTTTTAAAATAAATACTTTTCGAAGGTTTGAAAATCACTGTTTCTCCAGCCTAAGTTTTATTAATGGTATTTCTTGAAAATTTCAGAAGGAAAATTAACACCAGAAGGTGTAGTGCAGGGAGACTTAGCACTACCTCCATTGCTGCTGTGGGCGTAGTTCTAAATGGCTCTATTATTATTAGACAGGCTAGTCTTTGCACCTTGTCTAATTAACATAAACATGTTAAAATTAAAGAGGTATACGCGCACTTGTGCCTATTCAAAATAAAGATTTATGTAGCTTATTTTAAGACCCTTTTTACATGCCGATAGATGGCTTTGTCATAAATTCACTTGAATCTATTCTTTACCAAATGAAAGAATAATTTGAGTTTACAAATTTGTACTTAACTCAAAAAATGAAAAAAGTGCACTTATACCTCTTCAATTCCAAACCCCTCAATTGTTTTCATTGAATTTTTAAAGATATTTACCAATATTTTACTATTATTTTTAAAAATATTTTAATATTAACCTATTTCATAAACTTTTAATGTACCTAATGTATTACACAATAAATAAAACTCGTCGAATATGCACTAACGTGAAATCAAATTGTCAGGCACAAACATGAACTAACTGTATCAGACACGAATACTTATACAAAAAATGTAGTTTATAAAATAATCGATACAAATCTAACTTCGTCGAAAGTTCATTTTCAACTGTCGTTGTGTGTGTGATGACAATATTCATCCCGTAACCCGCCTGTTACTTGTCAACGCCTCCAAATATTAGGCTAACATCTAACAAAATTTTACTCTCTATTGTAGAGTTTAAACTGATTTCAACTGATTTGGCGTTTTTTGACTCTTGTAAGTGATCCACACATGTACGGACTTTTTGTTTGTCTAATTAATAAGAATGTATTAACATCATTAAACACAGATAACGAAGTCATAAATAATATTACTTTGTCATAATGATGGCTCGAAAACAATCAGCATCGTCGGCCTTTTGCGTTATTTTATTTTTTTATTACCGATTTTTAAATTAGTTAATATACTCTTTCTAATATAACAGCAGCTTTAATGTTTTATTTAAAGATAGTTTACTCGAAATATACCCATGCAAACTTTTGGTAGTTGCCCATTTTTAATAAAATAAAAAATATATATGTATGTGTAATAGTTAAATATGTGTTCCTATGAAGCCACTTTTTTAAAATTTGTCTAATTTTTTTTTAAATTAAAAAATGTCGTTTCTTTTTTAGGATTTTCTTAATTTTAGAAAAAACTCTCAAATATTGGAAAAGTGACTGTGAAACATGTCCATATTTTTTCTTTCATTAAAAATTAGCTTTTAAAAGTGGGGTTATTTTTCGTATATTAGATTAGAGACAATTGCCAAAGTAAAAATAATCCTATTAATATTATTAGGCTATGTATTTTTAACGCATTTTCTTTGTCTAAATAAAGATTTTGACAAAATTTAATACATTTTTGTAACAAGTAATAAATAATTCTTTAATATTTTATACGCCGCACACCGCCTATGCTGACGTTTGTTACTTTTAGTCGGAATTTTCATTCAGAAACAAAAGTGTTGATCACGCGTATGAATCACCTTCTCCAATATTTTGATCGATTATGTGAATTAGTCTTAGGAAGTTTGCTGTAGCAATATAACATAATTAGGCATTCCAAACAAATGAATTACCAGTGGGCAGGTTTGGTATATCTAAGGGTAGCGACATATGGTATATTCTATCTACTTTAAGTAAAATCATGAATAATGGATTACATTTAAATATTTTATGTCAAACACAATAAAAATAATATTTAAAAACCCACCTATACATTTCTTCATAAATTGGCAGGCTTGGCGAGTACTACTTCGAATAAAAATAGCGTCCAAGTTGCAAGACTATGGCACCTATTGTTTGACAAGTCGTTGGAATGCCTAATTGATGGATGAAATGTACAACCAAACATACATCAACGTATGTTGTATTGCCTAAGTGGTGTCTAGAATGGGGCGAAGGCGGAAACTTTTGTTGCCCTGTTGCGTATAAAGCTGGATTTATAAACCACGTTCAGTTCACGCTAATTTCGCGTTCAACATAAACAAAGAACGTGCGTAGTAATTTATTAACTTCGATCGCGCTCAGTTCGAGTTCAGTTGACTTTTATGTTTGCCGTTCGCCTACGAACGCCAGGAAAAACACGTATCTGGTTATTTGACCACGCATGCGCCAACGCGATCCTAAAATGACATGGTAGGTTTGTTTTGGATACGAAATTATAAACTTTATAAATTGGGTCCAGCACACTCCCCAACTCGAACTGAGCGTGAACTGAACGCCAAATGAACGTAGTTTATAAATCCAGCTTTAAAATTCTGTATCTGCGACCTCCGAGTCGACCGACGTCGGCCAATTTGTCACCTGAACACCAGAATTGAGGGCTACACAAGTTTTATAGTCCGTCAGATAGTGACAGGTTTAGGTGCCCCATTTTAGCATACATGCCTCGAAGAGGGTTGAAAAGTACATCGATTTTAAGTAAAATGAAAGGAAATTTACGAGTGGCTCCTGGGGATAACACTTGGAAAATTCGATTTTCCCTAACAAAAATGAAAGTTGATTTGTAGCCCATATTTCCACGCAAGCCGTTTTCACTATATAATTAATAGAACTAGGCTTCGGAAAACCGAAGGCTTTAATGTTGCATGTGGCTAAAGGATTGAAATAAGTGCGTAATCTTCTAAGGAAAAATTGAGATTTAACACGATTTTTCCACACAAGCCCATCGAATTTATGAAAATGTACATCGTCACTAGTCCGAAAAACATATTTTCTTGAATGACCCAAATGTATAAGTGCATTTTGGGGTCGGAAAATTTTTCTGATAAAGAACATCGAATTTTCCATGTGTTATCCTCAAGAGCCACTCGTAAATTTTCTTTTATTCTACTCAACATCGATGTACTTTTCAACCCTCTTCGAGGCTTGCATGCGAAAATGGGGCACCTAAATTGGTCACTATATCTGACGATCTATTAGCAAGATTATAATTGGAACAACCGAAATAAAAGGAGCTGTATGAAAAATATAAATAGACGTGGAATATATAATTTTTTATTAAAAATAGTATTGGTAGATAACAAAACCATTTCATTTTCTATTTATATTGATTTACCCTTGTATTGTGGGGCTTTAACCCTACAGCTTTATGATCCGCTTCTGAATCCTCTTGAGTATGTATGAGAAATGCATATTTTTAGTTTGAAATAACACATACAGGAATTTTCATGAGCAGCAGGAAGAAAAGCTTATAACTGAATATGCTCAATTTTATTTTTAAACTGACTAGGGCATTCATATTTGACAGTTTGGATGCCAGATTAATTTCGTTTTAATAAAATTATGTTTAATTTTTAGATTCATCCGAGTCATAGGACATGCTACATTCCTTTTGATGGAGCTGAAGTAGGATACCAAAATTATGAAGTGCTTATTTCTAGGAAGTATTAATAAGAAAATTATTATCTAACAAGTTTATTCTTAATGTATTATCACAGACGTAAGATTTCTATAGCTACTTAATTGTATTAAATAAAACTAAAAAAATAGTTAATATCGTACATAATTAACATCCCTAATCAGAAAGAATATTTAAATATTTGTCTACATGTAAATCCTTAAATATAAAAAGACAACGTCAGTTCAGAAAAAAAGTAGAGATTAGCGATTTAGTGATATTTCAAACACACTCTGAACGATTTACTGTGATTAGTAAAAATCAAATAAATGATGTTAGTTACCTCAAATCATTAATAAATTAAATATTATTTTTCTTAAAAACATGAAATCGATAAAACTTGTGTACAATGTCAGTTAACCGATAATTTTAGATATCAGTAAAATTAAGGCCGTAGTTTCACTGTATTTTTCCTATAAGAAGCAAGGGTTCACCATTTCCGATTGCATTTAAATTCTGCTAAATGTATTAAAATTAATCTTCTACCAGCTTAAAGTAGTTATAAGGTTTGGAGAATGAAATCTCCTATTTTTTGTGTCCTGTTTTTACTGAATTAAAAAAAATCATAAAAAGTGATTTTAAAAGTAGGAGATCTCATTCTACATATTTTTCCAAGTAACCCACCCGCCAAAATATTTCTAAATTTTATTGGGTATTTTTCAAATCTAAGCGGAAATACGAGGAGACGGTTTTAATAGGTGAATGATTGTTTAGAGGTAACAATTTTTGAATCAGTGATACAGCTGTATGCTGTCTTTTATTGTTTCGTGATTTTCATATGTATTTGTCTCTCTTCGTTCCAGCTACAAAAGTATCGATTTATTTTCCCTGTGTTGGCCACTTTGCCAAATGTACAATAATTATCGATTTATACGATAATTTCACAATTCTGTCTCGGAAGAATTTCATTTTAAAGTGGGTGAAATGCAGGAAGGGGAAGGAACTTTATTGCATTCCGATATAATTTGAATCCGAATGACCTGGCATCACTGTATGGTACGCATATCGAGATAGAATAAAGTAGAGACTACATAAACACTATTTTGCGATATCACAAATGGACGCACTACAAGTGACAGAAAAGTGTAATCAAAATAGCGACTTAGTCGTACACTGATTAATTTGAAGTCAATAATTTTATATTTGAAGACTGACGGAATGAAAATAATTTTATATAATTTATATGAAGCTATTTATTTTCACCAAAACTGACTAGCTACACTATCTCGAGTTTGACATTGAGGTAAAAATGTATAGTGCGGACAATTTATCATCGTAATAGCATCTCCTCTTTATTCTATCTCAATGGGTACGCACGTAATATTTGCGGGACTTGCTTTCTTCTTCTGAATGTTATTTTATCTTTACTTCTGAGTTAACACGTTGACTGCTATGTGTATATATACCCATGTGTATGTCCATTAGTGCGTAATTGTTTAATATTTTAATTTGTGTTAAAGACACGCCTACAAGTTTCAAAGAAAAGTTATATGAATTTGAAAAATACAAATTTTCAAAATATTTTTGGATATAGGGTGTTACATTTTGCCTGGCATATTTATTAAATAGAACATGATTTTATTTTAATTTTAGAATAGTTTGCCAAGCAATTCAATTTTTATGAAATTAGATAATGATGCAGACCCCAAATTAAATGATCATAATTTAAGTAGGGTTACATTGATTTCAACATTGTTTAGTACTATGCATAAAAACGTTAAATTAATGAAAACTTTACATCACATTGTTACATTGTAACTCTCATTTTTACTCTTGTTTTTATCTATAGAACGGACTCAACTGTCTAAGCCCAGAGTAGGGATGAAACAATGTAGATGTTCCAGTGATATTATAGCGCTAACTTGTTACGTTATTCAATGTTACTGGAAGTTCCCAAAAATGATGTCTTTTTAACAAACCAGATGTGACATTCCTTTTATATCCAAGAAAGTATTTTTACTTCTTGTAGATGTTAATATAAAGCCCATAAAATAAAATCATATTAATAAACCAAATGTGACGTTCCAAATATGATACAGTTAATAACTTTTTATTTTTATCTTTGTCTTTTAAATTTTATATGGACTATGTTATGTAAATCTTTTATATAGTTTTATCTATATATGACAGAATAGAAATAATGTCTTCTAACTTGAAGTTAAAAGCTTAGAAGACAAGTTAAACTTCTAATTCCAGGAAATTTTACAGAAAAAGTATGATAATACAATGGTCTAAATTAATATCGAAGGTAAAAGTAAGAACTTTGATGAAATACGTAATAGCGGGCAACAGACTGCTCCATAAGTACCTACCGGTTACGTAAGTAGTAAGCGATCATTGGTATCTACATCTATGAACGCGGGACGAACTGTTAGGTCTGCGATGTAAAGACTAAAGATAGCCATCTTAAAGATGTGTAACTTGTACACATTACTGTGCTGACCCTGTATGCGATATTATTGTGAGTTATATAAATTAACATCGTATAAATGTTTGTCACAGGAAGTAACTAAAAAGAAGTACAAAAGCTGTTTATGTAACATAAAACTTCATTTGTAGATATATGCGAGAAATGTTAATGAATATGATGTTAAAATTTAAACATCTATGGGATATTTTATTACCGTTTTAAAAATATATCAAAAAAAGTCTCTATGAGAAACGTTACAAAAAAAGACTGGAAATGTTTCATGTTTGGTGGGTTATAGCACACATTAAGGAATAGTGGTGATAGTGCTGGATTCTTTTATACCGAGTGTTTTGAAACATGTCTTAAATATGGCTACTTTTAAGTTCAATTTACTCAATTTTTTAAAAGGCAACACCCGGTATAATATTTTAGCATAAAATTCCTTATAAATTTGCCTATCCAACAGAGTTGGGTAGTATTCGAATACCCGGTATTCTGAATCTTATTCAGAATACATTTGGCTGGTATTCGAATACTATTCGAATACATTTGTGTTTTCTGTATTCGGTATTCGACTGAATACTTTTTTAGTCAGTACTCGGTATTTTGGATTTAGAATACCATTTTTAAATCCTAGTAGTCGAATACCACACTTTGTATTCGAATCCCGGTATTCGAATCTTGGTATTCGAATCCCGGTATTCGAATCCCGGTATTCGAATCCTGTTTTCGAATACTGTTTGATTATTTCTATGAATATTACGATCTTTTTGAAATGTTGGTTTTGTTGAAGGCAAACGGGATAGGAAATGCTTTTTGATTGATGTCTTCTTTCTGATATCCAAGTACTAGTGCGACGTTATGAATGTTATATTATATTTTATTTAAAACAAAAATAATTTATTTTAAGTTATTTATTATTTAAGATTATTTTTCAAGGATAGCTTCTTTTGCTAAGCAATTCTATTGTGTTACCTTATTGTGTTCGAATTTCCAATGAATGTACCAAAGAAACTATTTTAAGTTTTATTTATTATACAGAGTGTCCCACGAGATACGCCTCGGACCATAACTCCATAACGGTGCAATTTTCAAAAATTTTGTAAATGTCCTTTTTTATTTATATTCAAAAAAGCCATCTTTTAAAATTAGTTTTCGAAAATTGCACCGTTATGGAGTTATGGTCCGAGGCGTATCTCGTGGGACACTCTGTATAAGTAAGTTGGTTGTAGGGTATAGGTTATAGGTAATGGGAATTGTTTATTTTTTATTAAACAATAAGTTTGTGTTTTTATCTGACGGTGTACCAAAGAATTTTATTTTAAATTTTTCATTATTTTATCGTTATTTATAATTTTTTAATAAAACTTTAAGAAATAAAAATCAGCAAATGTTTTTTATTAAACAGTTGTTTTATTTAACCTCACTGTGACACTGTGTATCAAAAAATAATATTTCAAATTTTATTTAACATAGATTTTTAATTCTTTTTATATTTTTATAAATTAACTACATAAATAATAATCAAGCTTTATGTGCGCAAATGTTATTTGTAGTTGGAATATTCATAAAGTATTCATATGTAAATGAATCCAGGTATTCGAATACAGCGGTATTCAAATACTTTTTTTTTCTTTGTATTCGAATATTGATTATTCGAATACAATTTAGAATACAGTATTCAGGATTCGTATTCGAATACCGGATTTCAGTATTCGACCCACCTCTGCTATCCAACGATACCAACACATATACAGGGTATCCCATCAGTGAGTAATTAATCGATAGCCGTTTTATTATTGGAAATACGAAAAAAAAAATTAATATAAAAGTTGTATGACCATATTTAAAAAGTATTCTTCAATTTACAGGGTGGTCCATAAACGAGGTGTTGACCAAACCTATACTTTTTAAAGCAAAACACCCTGCAGGTAGTTATACATATTTGATTGTTCTCAGGGCGTCAAATAATTTTAATTGACTTCATTTATTTGCTATGTTATATAAAGGGTGTGTCAAAACGTAAGGTTACGATTTTTTATTTTTTTCAATGGAATACCCTGTAATAATTAATTGGTGGTATAACATACAGGGTATTCCTTTTAAAAATTGAGAAAATCGTAACCTCGCATTTTGACACACTATATATACAACATAGCAAATGAATGAAATTAAATTTATTGTTCGACGATATGAAAACCATTAAACATGTATAACTACCTGCAGAGTGTTTTGCTTTAAAAATGTATAGGTTTGGTCAGACAATCGTTTATAGATTACCCTGTATATTTAATAATAATTGTTAAATATGGTCATACAACTTTTATATTATTTTTTTTTTTTTCGTATTCCCTATCATAAAACTGCTATCGATCAATTACGCATGTGCGTTATTGGCTAACATGTTGGTATCGTTGGATAGGTAAATTTATAAGGAATTTTATGCTGAAATAATATACAGGGTGTTGCATTTGAAAAAACTGAGTAAATTGAACATAAAATTATCCATATTTAGGATATATTTCAAGACACTGTATAAAATGAACCAGTTCTATCACCACTATTCGTTAGCAATTTTAAAATCATTGTAAACCTATCTAAATTATAATTTAATTTGGGGTCTGCATCATTCTCTAATTTTATAAA